TCTGCCTGGGTAGGTCTTACTTCAGAGGCTCCGTTGAACAGACTGCCCGTTTCTTGCTCCGCACTGGCATTTATACCCTGGTCTCGCACTCCGCGTCGTTGCAGGAACCGCCCATGAAATGTCTGTGGTTGGTGATTGGGCGTGGTTAAATGGCGGCGATAACGCTGGTTGGCCGCTGCTGCTCTCGAAGCCACGCCCACAGCGTTCTGTCGTCGTGTGCTTATTTATTAATTTTTTGACGAATACGCGGGTCATCAATAAGATTCATTCGTTTGAGCAATTATGTAACTGTACATTATTGCAACCGGTGTCCCTTGTGACCGAACCGATCTGACCCGCGCCGTACATAATATATAGATCCGGCCGATACAGTCGTACGTCTCCCGACGTCAAATGTGCTTGGTGCAACATTTTATTCGTGACGAACGACTCACGATAGTGCAGACCGACTGTATTCCGGATCTCATCATATTATGCGCACAACTAGTTGGACTACTGCCCAGTGTGATGTCAGTTTTACATAATATATACCATTAAGAAATATTATAGAATAATTAATTTTATTTAAGAAAAAATACATTGAATAATTAAAGAAAATACTTCGCGTGGCGCGAACAGAGGCCATGACAATTCATATTCATCTGTTAATAGAGGTAATTATGTTTAATTTATTTACTTAATAGCCCAGCTTGATGAGTTGTTAAAAACCCACCTTGAAACGTCCACTATATTTACTGGTTTATCTGAGCACATTCAAAATTATTTAATTTAATCAATTTCAAACGTCCTTCTCAAACAAATTGAAAGTGAAATACGTGATACGCTCTGTTTGTTGCAATAATTATGGACGAGACAACCGATGTTGATTCAAATTCACAGTTGTCTACAGTATTGCGTTATGTTCATACCGTTAATGGTAACGAGGTTGTCGAAAGATTTTTGGGATTTACTGATGTTAGTCCACGAAAAAATTATCAGCTGAGCATGTATTTCATTTATTTTAAAGATGCATGTGAAGAAAAATCAATAGCCCAAACATATGACGGGACAGCTGTTATGTCTGGACAACATATTGGTTTGCGATCATTAGTGAGATAGAGATATGAAAATGCTATTTTTGTACATTGCTATGCACATAAAATAAATCTTGTCTTAAAATAGTTAGTTGAGTATATTACAGATTTTAAAATATTTTTTTTAACCATTTCTGGTTTATCGTATTTTTTTCAAAATCTACCAAACGAGTACATGCACTTGATAATGTACTTAAAAAACGTTTTACTACAAGCATCGATTATTTTTGAAAACCTACAAATAAAAGTTGTTGGTATTTCTTATTACTCAAAAAAGATTGACGATTTTATTGTTTATTTAAGTTCTGTCAGGTCAAGTTTTGATGATTTAGCTGCCGGATATCTCAATTTCACGCGATCGTACTTTTTCGGACCGACAATCGATTCGAGAGGTGTATCAGGAGTTACGCACCAGACAAGCCAGTGATCCTAACAGTAACATCACTGTTCGTTATATCAACGGATTCCCAAGGATTGTTCCATTAACCATTGTTATTAACAACACACTCAAAAAGTAGCCACCAACCAGCAATTGTGATTTTTTTATAAGTAATTATACACGTAATTTCAGTTGTTTTATATCAAATGTATCTACACATCAATGTAATCTTTGTACTAAGTCTAGATTAACTTTACCAAATTTTATATGCAATTATTCTTTATTCATATCTAAGTTTTCAACCACCCCTCCCACACCCAATCAACCAAATAATATTGGTAATTTAAATAATAATATTATGTTATATGATTTGTATAAAAATGATTGCGTGTTATACAATAATAAACCCAACATGCATGTCTGTACTTCAGTAAAGAACGCTCTCCCCCTTACTCATACACCCAATTATATTACACATTTTGGGTACTACCAAAATTGTAGAGGTCTGAGAACAAAATTAAAAACCTTTATATGTAACGCATCTATTTTTAACTATATTTTTATATGTCTATCTGAAACTTGGTTATGTGATAATATATATGATAATGAATTAGGTTTATATAATTATACTGTATTTAGATGTGACAGAAATGCATTAACCAGTAGTTTTAGTAGAGGTGGTGGTGTTCTTATAGCAGTTCGTGCCGAATTCGACTCGAATATTATCCCTATTACCAACAGAAATGTTGAACATATATTTGTCAAATTTACTTACAACGACTCCAGTTATGTTGTAAGTTCAGCATACATTCCTCCTAACAGCTCTACTCATCTCTATGAATCTTACTTGTCCGCAGTCCAGTCAGTTATTAATGATAACCCTAATTCTTTATTCCTATTCTGCGGTGATTTTAATCTGCCTGACATCACTTGGTCTAACGATAATCTTGGGTTAACTTATTCTTCCACCTCTGATATCAGAATCAATTGCCTTCCAGAAACTTTTGCATTCCTAAACTACTATCAACTAAATAAAGTTCTAAACACTAATGGGAAGCTCCTTGACCTTGTATTCTGCAATAATGAGATGGCTTCAGTGGACACTGTTTTAGACACTCTTGTTCCATGCGACCCTTATCACCCTGCCCTGTGTATTAATATTTCGGCTGAGAAAACTGTACCCATACCTATAAATTCTCACAATTTTTTTAATTTTCATCAAGCATCATATCCTGATATAAACAAATTTTTACTATCTTTCAATTGGTATGACACGTTTTTGTCTCTCGATGTAAATTCTGCCACAAACGCTTTTTATGATGCACTTCATTCCTGTATACTACAATTTGTGCCTAAAGTCTCCTTTACTCCCTCAAAATTTCCTGCCTGGTTCACTAAAGACCTAAAAGCGCTGGCATTTGATAAAAAACGTGCGCATGCTAAATACAAATCAACATGCAACCAGAGCGATTATATATCTTTCTCTTATATTCGTGCTCGCTTCAAGTCTGAATCTAAGAAATGCTATAAAGCACACCTTTTTCGTACCGAATCAGCTCTTAAGTATAATCCTCGTTCCTTCTGGGACTTTGTTAGAAAGAGCAATTCACAAAATGGTATACCTAATTTAGTCCACTTAAATGGCTCCTCTTGCACCGGCCCCGAAAAGATTTCCAATCTTTTTGCTTCACACTTCAACTCTGTTTACACATCCAATACTAGTAATACATTCGATATGCCATTTCTCCAACATGATTTACCAAGCAACTCCAGCATTAGCATCGTAGATATTGAAGCAGGTCTGGATAAGCTGAAGAACTTAAAATCAGTTGGTCCTGACGGGCTCTCTGGCATTTACTTGTACAATATTCGAAATTCCATTAGCTTTCCTCTACTGCTACTTTTCCGACGCTCACTTGATGAAGGAGTTTACCCTTCTATATGGAAAATGAGTTGTGTTTCTCCAATACATAAATCAGGTGACAAATCCGACGTTAAGAACTATAGACCAATCTCTATATTATCCCATTTAGCTAAGCTGTTCGACTCACTTGTCCTCCAGAGTATTCAACCATCTGTAAACTCTGTACTGATTGATGAACAACATGGCTTCAGACCCGGCCGCTCCACTATAACGAACTCTATGATCTTTAACAAGTATATCTTTGAGGCCTTTGAAAAAAACCTCCAAGTAGATACAATATATACGGACTTGTCAAAGGCCTTTGACCGTGTAGACCACTCAGCTCTTGTCCAAGTTCTTTACAAGACAGGCTTTGGCGATCCTCTCTTGTCTTGGTTCAGGTCTTATTTATCCGACAGATTACAATGGATTAAGACCAATGGGCATAAATCATCGGTGTCTTTCGTACCGTCCGGTGTTCCACAAGGTGGCCACTTATCACCACTACTATTTGCCCTATTCTTAAATGGAATAAAAAAAATCATACCAAACTGCAAATTCCTTGTTTTTGCAGACGACCTCAAGCTGTTCCTGAAAATTAGATCTATAGATGATTGTCACTTACTTCAATCTAATTTAGACAATGTGGCTTCCTACTTATGTTCACTAGGACTTAGTCTTAATGTGAAGAAGTGTCTAACTATGTCATTCACTAGAAATCGATCTGTTATCCCCTTCCAGTACAAGATTTTTGATTCTTCCCTTGTATCAGTCATGAGCGTGAAAGACCTAGGTATACTTTACAACCCTACTCTGGATTTTCACTCACACATTGAATCTTCGTGTTGTAGGGCACTAAAAGTGCTAGGATTTGTGAAGCGAATAGCTTCCGAATTCAAGCTGGAATCATCGTTAAAAGTGCTCTATTGTTCCTTAGTTAGATCTATTGTAGAATATGGTTCCGTGTTATGGGACCCACATACAACCTCTAGCTCCCTCCAACTAGAGCGTGTGCAAAGACGCTTCTTATCATTTGCTGCCTATGTACTTAAGATAGATCATGTCCCTCATGACTACTTCCCGGTGCTCACTGAACTACATCTAACTTCACTGGTTGATAGAAGAGCAACTGCTAATCTATCATTTTTACGAAAGCTCTTGGACGGATCAATAGACGCTCCCACTCTTCTCTCCAGTATCAATTTTAAAGTACCACAGCGTTCCCTCCGTTCTTATACAACATTCTCCATCCCAAATTGCTCTACAAACTACGGCCGTAATAATCCTATCTACCGTATGATGCGCATAGCAAATGAACAACCATCATTCCCTACCTAAACTAATCTTATTGTTATAATTGTTATTTACTGTTCTATTAAAAATGTAATTATTAATATTTAAATATTTAAATGTAATTTTATACTTAGTGTACACTTGTAATGTAATTGGGCTCTGCCCGTAATGTTTGAAATAAATAAATAAATAAATAAATTTTTGGTCACAGTTAGAAATTATAAACAGTGAATTAGAACATCAAAATCACCTTTCAAAAATCAAAGATTTAATCAAATTTCTGAAGATACAAAAACAAATTACAGACTACTATTTTTGAAATAATTGACGTTATAATTAATAAAACAAAAAAATGATTTTCAAATATAATTCAATTACAATATTTGAGTTGTTAGGCTTTAAAACATTTAGCCTGTATGCTAATGACTTTCCTATACATTTGTTCAATTCATTGAAACAATTATATGGTAAATATTTTGATTTACCCAAATTGAGAAGTAAACTTTTGGTTGTCTACTTCACAGTAGAATTTCAAAAACCTAATGTTCACGATCTTTTAATTTATTTAAAACCAACAAATTTGGACAAAAACTTACCTCAAGCAACAAAATTGAAATCATTGATATTAACCATCCCAGCTACAAGTGCATCAGCAGAACGATAATTCTCGGCCCTTAAAAGGATTAAGAACTCATAAAAAAAATCTCAAGAACAAAATCGTCTTTCATCATTATCAATATATTGTCAATAGAAAAAAAGTTATTGGTTAAGTTGAAGGAAAAATCTACTTTTCATTATGAAGTAATTTAAACTTTAATTACTAAAAATAGAAGAATTGATTTAATATGTAAGTAATTTCTTAGTTAATAAGTTGATTATTTTATTCAAAAGCTTATGAGATGTAATTATTAAAATAAAATATTTTTTAAAAAGTCATTTACTTTTTCTTTATTAAATATAATGTTTTGTTATATACTAGGTAATGTAATATATATTAATAAATACGTAAAACTTTGTATGTTTAAAGTAAAATTTTAAAAACAGTATAGGAGGGTGTGGGGGCCAAGCCCCCACCGTTTCATTAACTTACAATTTCAATGAATACGCTAAGCTGAAACCCACGCTACACCACTGGAACTAATTATTTTAGATATATGACTAGATAAAATATTTAAAAATATTTTATAAGCGATGGTATACATAATAGGTACATCTATATAATAGTATAATACACATAAATAACAAATATTTTTAACTGTCGATGATCTGTGTTTTACCTAGGAGAGTAATAAATATAATATGATTTATTAAATGTACCAATACAGATAAGACTGGATTTGAAAATTACAGCTTTGTAATGCAATTTCGTAAGTAATTTAGAGTGCTAATATTCTACAAATTAAATAGATGTAAGAAGCATAATATATTAACATAAAATACAAAGCTTTTTACAACATTGATGTCCTATCTCTTTAGCAGCTTAAAACGAATCAACGTGTAAAATAAATATTTTCTAAATTTTTTTTTTTCATAAATGTTGTGTTAATTCACATTTGCGGATCATTGTCATGGAAAATTGAAAACCCTAGATAAATATCAGGCATTTGAAAAACACGTGATGGAAATTATCGGCAGTAAGGGTGATAATGGTGTACCCGAAGATATGGGTAAATTTTTATTGTAATACACAGCAACTAAACAGTCACATTAAAATAAAATAATTTAATCTATAAATTAAATGAAAATTAAATACCACAATGGCATAATATGTAGGTTAGCTCATAATATGAGAACGATTCGAACGACTTGGATGAAATTAGATTCTGAGCGTAGCGAGGATGCTATAGTGGTTTTACTACGCTGTTTATATTTTAATTTTATCCTGTATACAAAATTTCTACATGAAGGAGGACTTCGATTTCAACATGTAGTTTCTTATTTTTTAGCAAATTGGATGAAGATGGTACTTTAGGGAGGTCATTTTTCGATTTTCTAAATAATTATTTTATTCCAGGGGAAAAACCATCGAAAAATTACAAAAAACTGGTGAAAATGGGAATTTTAATTTCTAACGCTTTTGTTATCACCATAGAAATGAATAAAAATAACAATATTTTTATAATAATATTGTATAATGAATTCATCTTACAGGCTATAATGAATAAAACCAATACCTATAACATATCCAGACTGACAAACTGTCTCCGCTCAGAATCATTTTTCTTATACAACGATATTATATCATTGAATTCAAGTTTAATACAATCCATTATACATTGACCCATTTCTAACTTACTATACAGCAGAGCGACATCCACTTACCCACTTTTTTTCGTAATAATCAGGACCCGGTTTGTAATTTGTGTGAAAGAAAATTTTAGGAAATTCCACCAGAAACGTAGGAAATCTGGTTGGCAAAAACACAATAGTATAACATACATCTGTCTGATTATGCGAGCACATGTGTCTGTTATGGTATTGAGGCAAGTTTTAGAAAGTCATATTTTAGAATGCCGAGTTTTAGACTAAGTCTTAGAAACACTATGTTTTAGAAAATAAAACTTTTAGAATTTCAGTTTTTAGAAACATTTTTGTTTTTTTACTGTTTACTCGTTTATAAAATGTTTTCTAATAATTTTCAAATAAAAAATAATTCTAATAATTCTACAATAAAAATTAAATATAATAATTGTTAATACGTTAGATTATTATCAATATAGCTGTCATAATTTCATCTAAATTATAATATAATCATCAACTATTCATTTACATATTTGCGATAAGTTATAATTCATATCATTTCATTTTACTTTTTACTCTTAAATACTTTATTTTAAATCAACGATTCGATTGTTGCTCATGTTCTTTTTTAATTTTGGATATTAATGAATGTATTCCAGTGTGTGTGGAGAATAAACGATGTATTTTGTTAAGCCAACCTTCTGATGAATTTAATGTTCTTGGCATTTCGTTGACAGTTTGACTATGTAGGTATATACTGACCAAATTTCGATTGGAAAACATGGTTCCGTAACGCGTTGCTTTTGTTTTCTAAAGTTCATTCTACTTTTTCCAACCACGTAGTTTTCTTCAAAATATGTTACTAGATCAATTACATCGTCCTCAAATTCTCATTTCAAAATACCCCACGCTTCCTTCAAGGAGAATAATGCTAAACTTTCAATTATACAAGTTCAAAAATTGAACTCTGGACTATGGTGAACTACTTTTTGATATTTCTCGTATTTGATCAGATATAAAATAACCACATATTATTTGAATATAGAACTCTATCGTAAATCTACGATAATATTTAGCAATATCAATAAAATAAAAACTTGATAGCGAAAAGTAACAAATAAATTTATAAATATTATGTATTTTGATATTTTGCGTCTTCCCGATCAAACATAAGCTAATTACAGGTTTGGAAGTGTATCATATTACAAAATAAGACGGTATTTTATTTAAAAACTCTGTATTTTGATATTTCTCCTTTCCCATCAAATATATTTTATATTCTAAAACACCATTTAACAATTTTCTAAAACACAGATTTTCTAAAAGTTTCATATTCTAAAATATAGATTTTGTAAATCTTGTCATTCTAAAACTTGATTATCTAAAATATTCACCCAAATCTTATTTTATTAGGTAGACAACCTACCTGCGTTAGATCGCTGATAAATAGTAAATAATACAATATGAATAGAAGTTAAAAATGTGTTCAACTAAAATAACTATCAATCTTTAAACTATATAGAATATATTATTTGTTTAATAAGTCGTATTAAAATAACTGGCAGGTTATTTACGTAAAATTTATGAAACGATCTATGATCCGAATCTATGTCCGTGTAAGTATTATTCTTAAATGAATTTGTTTTTATAATAATTTATAGAATTAGTCCAAAAATATGTATTGTATATTTGTGTTCATATTTTTATGTTTATAAATTAGCAAGTTATAAAGGCAAAACAGCAGAATAACATAGTCATTTATTAATATATTACAGGTACAGAAATAATTCCAGATGTATATTGTCTAAATGAATGTGAGTAGTATTTTATTTTGTTTCATTTTGACGCGTTAGGCGTAACACATTCTTTTGGAATCTAAAATGTGAAGGATAATGTTTGATAATTGTAATTATTAAACATAAATAATATATTTTCTTATAATTTCAGTAAGACAATCAAGTAATCGTATATTATATTCATAATATTATACAATGTATCACTAAAAGAAAATGTATTTATAATTGTTACAAATGTCATATGCTTAAAAATTATAAATGATCGTATGAACTATTAATAATTAATTCGCATATTATTGATTTGATAAGTTGCAAAAACTACCTAGTTTTTGTTCTCAGAACCCAAAGGTGCTATTTCAAAATATCAAATTATTCAAAAGAACCATTTTAAAATATTTTAAACTTGAAACTGTATTATCTTTTATCGTTATGAATGATTGGCACATCTAAAAACTCACAAAGTTGTTCAGCGTCAACACTAGCAATTTGTTTTTTTTTTTTTTAAATCAAAATTTAACTTTTAAAAAAACAAAAATGTAAAAATGTCTTCAGATAGAACATTTTAGTTGTTAATACAATTTGTTTTCACTTAGTTAGAACTTTTTCGTTCCGAATTAAATATAATATGTATTTACTAAGACATCACCAACCTAAATATAATACAATTTGTGACATCAGCTTTTCATTTAAATAGATACTTATATTTACAAGGCTTTGCCCAGCTAGGGAGTTAATTTTTAAGGTTCAACCACCACCCTCCCCGAAATGTTCTAAAATTATCTTATCGATCTCATTCAAGTTATATTTTTTTAATTTTCTTAACTCATTCCCCCACACCTTCTTACATTTTTTCCTGAGTACGTCCATGCCTAGTTAATTTATAATTTACAATTTTTTTACAGAAATTTTTATTTTGTTGATCGATAATTTACAATAATTAATCTTCACGTGTTTTTTTTAACAGTACACAAAGTAGCTTAATAAACTACAAGTTCGAATTGTAATCAATAGATCCGAAATACAATGTTTTATTTTGCATATTTTGTCATTTTTCTGTATTTTACGAATACCGAAATGTTTATACCCATTTGTTTTACTATTGATTAATTTTCAAATAACACAAAGCTCCGAATTAATTTATTGCAATTTAAAAGTAGTACTGATCTAATATTTTTATAAATTAACTGTACTGGTTATAAATTGGAAATTTAGTATTTATTTGAACAACGTGTTGGTAGTTTGGCGAATTAAAAAAATTAACTCCAATTGTTTTAAATATCATGTGATATTATGTATTATAATACACACATATAAGGTTCACTAATGTATCAACACTGTATCGCTTAAATTATGTAGGTATGTCTATAATATACGGGTAAATAATTGTGCATGTTCGGCGGCTGAACTTGTGTGGGAATCGTTATGTCCTAATTACAACAATTTTATTTGGGATGGTTTCGATCGTTCTGAACAAGTAAACATACGTCAATATAACCACAGCCGCTATTATCGTTCAACGCATCTTACTTTTTGTCATTATTATTGTTGAATTATTCATTTATATATTAATAGCTGTCCAACCCGACATTGTCCAGGCCAAATATTTGTATTTTTAATAAGTATATTTGTACAAAATGCGTATATATACCATATTTTTTCTAATTATAAGATTAATAAAATATGTAACGAATTGCCACCATTTATATTAACCAAAAAAATTTCTTTTTCGTATGTTAAAAAAAATCATGTGTGAGCTACTCTTTACCTATCTAGCCTATATGTGTTGAAATTTCAAGCTGTATACACCCTCCAATTTTAAAGTGATAATCAATTGAAATAACTTTTATTTATAACTTTTATATCATTTTTTGAGGTTATCGATGTCGGTTAAACCAACATCTAATTTTATTTGTACCTATAACACAATTTCGCAAGCCAAAGTATTAAAAAAAAAAAATTTAGATTGTATAAGTATATCTTGGTTTTGGTGTACCTACCTAAGTACCTCAGTTCACAGATAAATTTAGGTAGCTTTGGAAACTAAATCGACCAAGGTGAACAATTTATATGGGATGGATTGGGTATAAAACTTGGTATAAATCGAACGTAGTTCAAACTACTCTTAAAATATTCCTGATATCTACAAGAACAATTCGAAATTCTCATATTTGTTTTAAGATATATAATTTCTTCATCCAAAACCATAAATGTGCGACGATTTGATTTATGCTTTTATCTCATCTGCCGGAGTAACTAATGGGCAACATTTAAAATACCAAGTTTTACTTATTATTTCTCCTATATCCAATAGCAACCATTTATAAACAAAAATTTCCATCGTAAATCTTAAAATAACTGTTTGAGCACCTCCCAGGGTTGGACCAACTGGGTTTAATTGTGAATCTAAAGTCTAAACTACTCAGGGACTCACTAAAAAACATATTACAAAACATATCCAGTGGTTGGAGTTGAATGACATACAGACAAACAATATTTTTTTATATACATATATAGACATACATTGTAAATATTTTCGGCCACCCAATTAATTTCACCAAGAAAAATTATTATACATTAAAACCTTCTCCATGACTCGGCTGAGTTAGTGAAAACCGTATTAAAGTAAGTAGACTTCTTTTCAAGATATGCTCGTACATAAAAAAGGGGGAATTATTTCTCCACTATATTATGCATGTTATAAACACATAAGCCTTCCCCTTGAATAACTGTATCAATTGAAAAAAAACAGCATAAAATCCGTTTAATAGTTTTAAAGGTTTAAGTATACAGACAGAAAAAAGGATTTTGTTTTATACTATATTAAGAAAGATAAGATAATATAAGATTATATTATATTAGAGTGATTATTTGAACTTTGTCAATACATAATAAACATAGACAGAATAATATATCGTCGGCCTAATTCGCAAAGGTCGTATGTCCAAAATTACAAATTGTTCAGGAGAAGAAAAAAACGTTTTACGGCCATATTATTAATTATAGATACGACGATTTCTAATTATCAATTTCATGGAGGATAATATTATGAAATCGGAAATTTGATTGTATCAACAGACGCAGTTTTTTTTTCTTTATTTTATGAGTAAATAATCCCAAAATGACAAAAAATGGAGATACGACTTTTGCGAATTAGGCCGACGATATACTTGTAATATTATATTGAATATTGAATCATATTTTGGGCTTCTGTTCTGTACACATTTTGCCGATTTGTTTTATTCATACCACATGCAAGTCTACTAACCGACGTGAGTCGTTAAAATGACACTCTGATCTGGTAGAAGATCATATAATAAATCTAATAAATTTATTATAAGAATGAAAAAATGGATATTTATAAAACAATCGGTTTTTTAATTTTATTCCGTCCTTCTGTGTATTTAATTGAATTAAATACATTTCTTTATAGGTAAATAAAAAAATATTTATTTAATTTAAAATAATTTGTTTATAATTTATTTTAGAGTTTACAAATATAATAATTGACTATAAAATAGGTAAGTTGTTGTATTCTTAACCTAATCAATATCTGACAAAAAATTAAATAATAAAACTAACAAACAAACAAACCACTATACTACCGCCGCCGGTAGTCGATAGAACGCCACTCCTTCGCTTATCCAAAAGGTTGAGCTCCACGGTTTCGTACCCGAATTTCTCCCACTCTAAAACCTAGTCGCCTCAGTACATTCCCCCACTAAGTACGCAGCGACCGGTGGCGGCAGGTTTGTGCCAGCACCTGTGCGACGGTTTCACAAATTGACGGAGGCCAGCGTTTTGAAGGGTTTAATAGTAGGAATCGATAGAAGTCAGGACGAATTTTGGTTGTTTTCTACCGGCGGCGGTAGTACCTATAGCTTCATCGCTTCTCTCAGAATCTAAAAGTTCAATTTTTTTTAATTAATGAATAGTTGACAGTTGCAATTGTCAATAGTTATAGAGAGCTTTAATAAGCTTTGTTAACCTGTTTTTGATACTTGAGGTTTTTTATAGAACCTAGTCCAAATAATATCGATGATAACAATAATTTCAGTGCAATATTTATTAAATAGTTATACAGGACCCGGAGTATTTATTTGTCAAATAGGTTTTATAATTATGTGGGAACTGGAGCTGGTTCATAATAGAAAATAGTTGAGTTTGATATTTATTTTAATCAGATTTTAATAGATTATAGAGTTTAGTTGAGCTTGATAATGTATTGTTTGTTCGATGGAATTGGACCGTTTAATTTCTTGTGTATTGATTGGGGTGTTTTATTAGATTTTACGATGTGTTTGTCAGCCACTTAAGTATTTAAATTACATGCTGAGTGCTATTATTTGTTAATGATGATTGTTTTAAATATTGATTCAAAAAATATGATGTGAGACCTTTCTTATATCAGGGGTTTCGATAGTGATACGATGGACTTATGGTAGGTGTGTAATGTGTATCACTAGAATTATTTGGCTGCATACGAATTGCATGCCAAAAAAAAAAAATGTCCAAATTGCATGCCGTCTCTTGTAGGGGTTTGTCCGAATTGCGTGCCATCTCTTGGAGGGGTCTGTCCGAATTGTATGTCATCTTTTGGAGGGGTCTGTCCGAATTGCATGCCATCTCTTAGAGGGCTTTGTCCGGATTGCATGCTGTACACCACACGTTTATTTACTATGCACTTAAACAACTTAAACTTTTTTTTTGGACTTTCCTAATTTTTAAAAAAAAATACATGTCATTGCCGACAACAAAATAAACAAAACTAAATGTTTAATATATTATGACTATATACTATATAGATAATTATATTATTATAATTGTATTCTACCTATTATTATAATATTATTACCTACTACTATTATTATTATTATTATACTGTAACGTAATTTTTCATTGTAATATTAACCGTTTTAAAAAATGCTATTATACTATTTTATTATTCAAAAAAAGATGTTTCTATATTGACATATTTTATTATTATATATTATTTTGTTTATTTGAATTGTAATATTGTGTGCCCGATTGCCCGAAATGTCAAAAAAAAACCACCAAATTTAAAAATAATATTTTTATGATTCTTATTCACAGTGTCGCCTTCTACAATATTTATATGTTTTATTGTAATGTAACAAAATCCCGATCCTCCAGTTGAAAAGTAAGTTATTTATTCGGATATACCCCTCTAAGAGATGGCATGCAATTCGGACATACCCATTCAAGAGACGGCATGCAATTTGGACGACCCGATTTATATTTATTTTTTTGGCATGCAATTCGGATGCACCGAATTATTTCCACCTATAATAGTATTTGTTAGTTTTATTAGAGCTAATTGATCATCTATGTTATTTTAATTAGAAATTGTATTTATATTTTCTGATTAATTTGATGTCATCAATTTGTGTTATGTTGTCAAATATAAGACGATTTGTTAATATTTTTGGGTTTCCCGGGGGGTGGGTGGTGTCATTATTCATTAAGTATAATCTCGATGAAATATTATTTCCGTCGATACGACAAATGTATAAGGTTATTACGTTATTTTGAGTTTGAACACATACCTAATTAGAATTGCGTTTTTTATAAAAACATAGAATACCAAAATTAAAAAAATTAAATACCTATTTTATAATATTATTAAATTTACTGATTAATTGTATTCCGAATCCTAGTATTCAAATCCGAATATTAATAAATTTAATAACTATTATGCTTATACATTTACAGACGAAAAAAAACGTAAGTCCGCTAATTTCAAACATAATCTGATAATCATAAATATCATATTACAGTGTTATTTTATAACACTAATTATTTAATAACGATATGCGTTTATCCATTTACAGTTTTTGAAGGTAAGCTCATTTACTATTTTACTTCATTTATAATATAAGAAATTTCAATCACGTATGTTAATATATTTAATATAAAGATGTATGATCAACTTTTAAACTTAATTATACAGAAATAAAAGAAAAAGTGACTTATCAAATAATATTACATATTTACATTTCAGTACTTAAGTTAGATCGACAGTACAAATGACAATAAATATATTAGAATAGTATACGTATAAAATATAACAATCGACTGATTATGTTATCTGTACCTTTAATTATTATAATTAATAATATATTAAACTAGCATTTCATCAAGAATGTAGAAGCAACATATACATCTAATAAATCTATTATATCTAAATAGTAATTATAATTAAATAATGACGAGGGGTTGTGTGTTCGAAAATGATATGTTCGAATGAAAAATGTTCGAAAAAGCATATGTTCGGATGAATTTTTGTTCGAATGAATTTTAGTTCGAATAATATTAATAATAATTAATAATATGAATAATGTATATATTATTAAATATATTAACATATATTAAATTATTAATTTCTTTATAAATCTCTTTTCTTATTAAATCTATAGGTATATCGTCAAGTAAAATAAACATTTAAAAAACGAATAATTAATGTATAAATTATTTAAATTATTATATAATATTATTTAAAAAAAATGTTTGTATAAATGTATATATATTAAAGTTAAAAGTTTAAATTGTACGCAATGCCTCTTAAAAACTCAATGTTATTTTGATTACTATTTTTAAATCTTAAAACTAAATTTTTAATTCTATCTTCATGTTGTTGTCGGGATACCTTTATTTTTTTTGCAATTCTGCCTTGAATAAATTGTTCAATTAAACTTTCGTTCTCGTTCTGCATTTTTTGAAGAAGTGTTATGAATTTATAAGCACCTGGATGTTTCGATATCAACCTAGTATAATATTATATTAAAAAATATAAAATATATAAATTTTACCAATTTTAAAATTACCTATTTAAACGACTATGCCAAGATTCAGTGATATTAGTAGTGCGTGGCAATTCATATTCAACTCGTTGAGCTACTGACCATATTTCTGGTGGATATAACGGGGGTTTTACTTGTGGATTTCGCCCGCGGAGTCTCACTGATTTACCAATAACATATGTTGTTTCGAAGTAATCTATTAATTTTTGTACCCTTTCATCATTCGAAAATTCAGTTTTAAGCAGTTTCCAACTTTCATTGACCTATATAAATAAAATATATATTTATTAGGAAAATATGCGAAAATATGTTGATATTAACAATAATGCTGGGTATTAAAATTCGTGTTTTATACGTACTTTGGAAACCGGAAGGAAAGCCAATGCTGGTAAATGTCGACAAAGTAAGTTGAAGTTTTGATCTTCCATATACTTGGTCGTTAATCCTTCCTTTTGTATGTGACGATAAATATTTTGCGAAAAGTGAAAAAAACACGCAGAATGCATTGCAAATGGAAAAATATCATTGATGGCATTAATAGCAGCAATTTCAAAATCAGTAATAATTTCAAGATCCGTATTATCTTTAAAATTAATACGATGTTCAATAGCAAAATAATTAAGTGCTGTAAACATAAGTTTATACGAATTTTCAGTTTGATTTTTCATAAGGGCAAATACTAATGGTAAACATATCTGGTCGTTTCCTCTCTTAATAGATCCATGAATTGTGTACAATTGCTTAAAGAAACTAGGACAAGACTTATATGTTCCATCTGCAAGCCAAAACTCTGATCCTCTTAAATACAAACAATTTTGAAATGTTGTAAAAATAATAATTCTATTGTTGTCATCGTAAATGTCCTTGATTAAAAATTCTTGACCAGAAATTGTTTTTTTTAATTCAATAGGAGGGTTAAAATGTTCAACACAAGATGGTTCAATTAATTTACCTTTTCTCTGTCTTTTAATAAGTTGTTTTGATGCATTTTTGCAAATTTGTGAAGAGACGACAGAAGGAACTCCAATTATTTGCTCCTGGTAAATTTTGTGTGGATTATCTTGAGATTGCAATGCAGCAGTTTTGATTTTATTTTTAATTATTTTACATTCATTTTTTATAGGATTTGGTGCATGTGAATGATCCATTAATGTACACGATTCATCTTTAATATGTTCATTGTTTTTAATAATTGTTCGAAATGTAGCACCACACTTTTTGACACAGATCCAATAGTATAACAAATAACATATCATATCAAATAACATATAATAACATAATAATAATAATAATAATAACATATAAAAATAATAATATAATAATAATAACATATCCAATAACCTAACCTAACCTAACCTAACCTAACACATTTTCTTTATCTCGTTTACGAAAATTATTTTTATTAAACATAAATTCATATTCATTAACTAATAACATATTTTTCTTATGTATAGTAGGTATTAATTTTATAGTACACGTCGACATATTCGTTCGCTATTTCGTTCGGTCTGACAATCGGAAATATACTGCAGCAGTTGGTAAATTAAAGTCGATACCTATGTTACAGAAACCCAAATTATGATAACGCTAACGATAACATAACGAGTAGATACAATTTATTGCTCTATATTAGATTATTAGATACTATATTATATTAATGTTGAATACACGTCTAACCGTCTTTCCCTGGTTAACGGTACAATAGTCGGAATATACGGCTATTAATATACTATAGATAATAATATTTACAAAGTTTTCGAACTAAAATTCATTCGAACAAAAATTCATCCGAACATATGCTTTTTCGAACATTTTTCATTCGAACATATTTTATTCGAACATATCATTTTCGAACACATAACCCGACACCTTAAATAATGGCTATATAAAAATAAACAATTTTTTTTATATTTTATATTCCGTCTTTTTGTACTTTTAATTTAATTGTTGTTACGTCTACACCAAAAGTTTGGTTTTTGATAGTGATTGAAGCGTTGGAAACGGACCCTTTTCCGTCCATCGATCAGTAAAGTGGGAATCCTTAATAGTGTACTGCAGTAAAATGGAAATCCCCAAAAGTACTGGGCCCACATTTATCACACGTATCGGGTGGCGCAACCAGACACTGAATTCAATACCAAGGTCTTTTACAAGACATAAATTATGGGTTTCTTCTTCTATTGAGATTCTTACCTCCTTGCATTAAGCGTAAACATTTATATTTCAAAAAACTGTTTTCCTAGAATAATCTGGTTTTTGCATAGATTCCTGCATTGTGCATTACCTTTGCCGTGATTACATTTTTTTATTCTTATTTATATAATAGTTATTATATATATATTAAAATCATATCTATACTAGGATCTTTACAAAATATAAACTTTTGGTTACAGCTTACCTATATTCATTTATAACCTCCATGCGTGACGCTTAAAATAAATAAAACCAAATATTTTTATGTTTCCGTAAAAGAGTCTGGTTGTTGAGTAGACCCCTGTATACCTTTCCCGTGATCGATGAATGCAGAGGCGTGAAAAAAAAATGGCATGTGTGGCTAGTGTGGAAGGCAATTTCAGTCTTGAGCGAAATACGGCCCCCGGTAAACGGAAAACTGATTTTGTCTTTATAAATGCGTAATACTGGTAGGGTTCACAATAGTCAAGGTTTCCCAAACTTTTATGAAAAAAAAAAGAATAAAATATCAACATTATTTTTAATTTAATTCTACCGACGATCGATGGGAAACCACGAGTGACTGCGAGTGAAAATATTACAATAACCATAAGATACAATAAATATCTATAAATCAATAAATGTCATGAACAAAATGTAGGTACAGCTAGTTCTCACCAGTGTATCATTCACAATAGTGAATTGAGTGTGTTCTATTTTTCACTTAAAAATTATACCTGGTACCTATCATATAATCAACAATTTTGAAATTCAGAGAGGCAGTGAGTTAATAATACATGAGAAATATTCTTAAGTGGTTTTGAGGAAGAATAATATAAAATATTTTGACTTATTTCTAGCTGTTTACGGATATTTTCAGTTTCCATTTTTTTTTAGTTTTTTTTTTTTAAATATCAATAAAATTGTATTTGTTAGTTAAAAAAGCTTGAAAATTTAATAGAAGCGGCTAGTAGAATATTGTTTTAAAGGCAAATGAAAAAAATTAAAATCCATAGTTACAATTTTTTTTTATCATCATTTAAAGTTCAAATATTGATAAAATACATATAAACGACAAAAGTTTGCAAATTATTTTGAGTTGCAAATTCATAAAAAAATTTCTTTTTAAATCTAAGATTTGAAAACGTAATAAAAAACTATTCATAAGTTTGTCTATTTTTATCAAAAAAAAAAATATCTTCAATCAAATAAAACTAAATTTTTATGAGCGTTTGAATTTCATATTTATATGATATTGGATATTCACTCGATTTCTCATAAAGCGATTTTGTTATTTTATTGTTATTCAAAAACGAATAACTGTAATTGTGAATGCATGAAAGTTATACTGAATGTTTATATTTTTATTTTCTATACACCATACAATTTTAAAAATATATTGACTCTTTTTGAGCTATTTACATTGTCAGTATTAAATTTTTTTATTTTTTATTTTTCTATAAATATCAATAAAAATTATTTGTTGAGTAAAAAAGCGTGAAAATGTAATTCAATATATTGTTACAAAATAGCAGTTGAAAAACATTGAAAATACATAAACACAATTATTTTTTAAAAGCATTTAAAGTTCAAATTTTGACAAAATGTATCAAATTTTAAATTTAATAATTATTTTTAGTTAAAAATGTATAAAATTTTCAACTTTTATAACTAAGGATTAAAAATTTAAAACAAGATCCACTTAAATAGATTATATATAAATTACTTTATTCACAATAATATCATCAAATATACTTAATGATATAATAGGTTGACTGACCGTTTTCGCTCAGAATCGTTTTTCAAATACAATAATATTATATTATTGAATTCAAATATAACACCATCCATTACAGTGACCCTTTTGTAACCTACTGTACAGCAGAGTGACATCCACTTGCCCACCTTTTTTTATTTTAAATGTTAATTAAATTTAACTTGTTGACATGGTGATTTATCAAAATTATATTATAAAAATTGTAAATATTTTAGGACCCCTGAAAATTCAATTTTGAATAGTACCAGTTTTCAGAGTTTTTTATTTATTTTGTCATAAATTATATGGACCGTACCAATATTCCGAGCATCACGGCCCTCGCTTGCAGCCTTCACCTGTGGTACTCGCCCATAACTGAGTAGCTCACTTCCAGCCCTTGCGACATAATATACTATTGTAAAATATTAAAATACAAATATTTTATGTGATAATATATAGAATGATATGATATGACACATTATCAGGTCATCATCACAGTGTTCATGTTGCTCATATTTATATAATTATGTTATAAATTACTAACAATGTTAATCCTCGATTACATCATGTTATAACTAGGTAAGTTAATATGTTATTAAAATATTAAATGAATTTATTAAAAATAAACTGGTGTTTAATTTAATAGGTACATTGCAGCATTAATAACAACAAATTAATCAAGTATGTATGTATTTAATTTACAATATCTTGTTTATATTTATAGAGTATACAAGTATGATCAAGGACTATATAAATACAAGTAAGTAATTGTGTTTTTAACTTAATTAATAATCTAATGGTATCTATTAATAATATAAAAATGCAGTAATAACAAATCGTACAACGTTATAAGTTACATAAATAACATAAAAGACATAATAACAAAAATATTTTAAAATTAAGTTCATTTTAATTTTTTGAATTTGTCCAACAGTCAATACTTACAGTAGTCTATATAATAATTTTCATTAGCCTGATACTTGACGACTTTTGTAAAATCTAGTCCAAATTATATGAATGATTCTAATAATTTCAATACAATTTTTATTAAATGGTTTTGCATTACCCAGATATTTTATACGTCAAATAGGTTTTAAAATTATGTGGAAACTTTAGCTACCGTAATATTAAATTATTGAGTTTGATAACATTTTAAATAGGTTTTAATAGATTCTAGAGTTTTGTTGAGCTTGATAATTGTTTATTCATTGGAATCGAAACTTTTTAATTCCTTGTGTATTGATTGAGGTGTTTTAGTGTTTTAGATTTTATGATATATTTGTCACTTAAGTATTTAAATTACATGGAGATTGTTGTGTGTATATTTGTTGTGTTTACAATTTGTATATTAACGCCGTTAGTTTATAAGTTTCTATTGCCATGGTGCTTTTGTTGGCAGCACTTGGTGGATAGTTGAGTGGGACAAACGTTTAATAGAGGAAACCTGTGTAAAATGGAATAATCGTTATAAGACTTAATAAATATTAATACAATCAAAATACCAAGATACATTTAGGTGCAATGGAAGGGAGCAACACGGTGTGTAGATTTGTATAACTATTAAAATGTAATATACACGATTCCACATGAAATGTTGCCATTTCGAAAAAGTGTAGGGATAAACAAACATAATATTTTACTAATCGTTTTGTGCTTTAAATTTTTGAAAACAAAACTTTCGGAAAACATGATTTTACTTTATTAGATAAGTATTAGTTTAGGGATTTATTCAGTGCTAACTGTCTTACTAAAAACATAGTCTGAAACAGTAGTAAAGATAACACAATTTAAAGTAATGAAAAAAATATATGACTTTTAAAGAGACTGAAAACATTGAAACTACTATTATGGCATATGATAAGTATACATCTTGTAAATCCAAAGATCATTTACTACATTATTAATATCATTAACTGACCATGTACATATCATGGAAAATTATTATTTTAATGTTGATAACCTTAATATTTTTATAAATTTTAATATTTTCGTATAGCTTATATTTTTATTTATACTTATTTAATATAATTAGTAGTAGTTTTAAGTACAGAATTAGTATGAAACGGACAGTTCTGGAGGTCCTCCCCCTTAAATTGTGCATGTAAAAGCGTTGCTCGTCTGCATAGGATATACTCCGTAGAGGCTCCTCTCAAACACCTCCGAAACTTGTATTAATTACTTAATTTAGGCAACTCTCAATATACCGTAACTTAACTCAATCATTATCATTATTTCTGTTAAAAGAAACAGACAAAAAATGTGTTCCAAAATGTGTGAACTTAGTTGCACTACCGAGATCTTGAATATACATTTACGTACACACATACA